TTGTCTGTAAGTAAATTTAAATTCACATTTTGTATGTAAAATGGGGTAAATAATGTATAGAATAAAATACCTTTACCAAGGGCAATTAGCCTGCAGTTAGACACTTTTAGACAAAATGTTTTTCACTTACCTCCTTCTTCAAATATCAGTGGAACTGATCAGGACTCTGCATACAGGGAGATGGGACAGAGATAACTAAGCCTGAGGTCTGATCTGTTTGCCCTGGCAGCAGATCAGCATGTGCAGAAAAAAGTGATTTACCATACATATGGACAAAGGCTCCACAAAAATCAATGCTGGTTCCCCTTTGGGGAAGAAAAGCTGAATGTAAATTTAGATTTAGTTTGATGTGCTGAGTTTTTGTACAGAGTTTCTTCCTCTTGTGTCACTGTGACTCTCGAGCACAGTAATAAACAGCAGAATCCTCAGTTGTCAAGCTGCTCATCTGCAGATACACCTGCTTTCTGCTGTTGTCTCTGGAGATGGTAAACCGGCCTTGGACTGACTGAGAGTAGTACTTGCTACTGCCACTGCCACTCTCGATCAAAGAAATCCACTCCAGTCCTTTCCCAGCAGCCTGTCTGATCCAAGCTGCAGCAATATCATAACTGAACCCTGAGTATGTACAGGTCAGTCTGTGGGAGTCTCCAGGCCTTTTAACCACTGATTCAGACTCAGTCAGTGTTTGACCCTCAGTACCTACAGAAATGTTAATAGCTCATTAATTATCACATTTCTTCGTATCATTTAATTTGTTAACAAAAATGTATGTCCTTACCAGCCAAGAAACAAAACAGAATCTGTAAAATAACTGATCTGATCATTTTCAAAGTCAGTTGTCTTTGCCAGTTTGCACGGTCTGTATGAGGTTGGGTCCCTGATTCTTACTCTTGAACACTTATAAAGTTACAGAATAAATGGTGTTTGCATTGACTCCTCCTCCGTAGCAAAAAATACTGCTGTTTAACAAAGTGATAAACTAGAAAATGAACATGTACTATTTGACAGTTTTCTATTATTATACTTTGTAATCTTAAAGCAAATTAGAATTTTCAAATATTAAAACTGACACACTCTATTTTCATACCATTATGTTTTATATTGAATTAGTGCTGGCCACTTCTTTCTGTACTTTTTTTGTACATATTTTGCACCTGCTCAATGCCATTTAGTCTATAATAGCAGTAAGCAGGTGTATATCCCCGTATACACCTGCTTACTGCCATTGATCATTACAGGACACACAGAAGCAATTGGAAGTAATAGGTTTGCAGGCACAGCAGTGCGGTTTGTTGTTTACATGCTGGTAAAGCCAGAGGGGCATAACCTATTATCAGAAAGCCAAATATGCATGTTTACATGCTGAATGTTAAATATGTTAATGCTGGAGATTTAAGTAATGAATTAAATATGATTCTTTCTGATATGTTAATCCTTTTCAATGTTTTATTGCAACAATGTAATTGCTGCAAGTTCATTTTACAGTGATGCTGATATTTGCTGTAAAAACTAATGTCATGGTTCGGATTTTGAGGAAGAGACTACGACTGCATGTTCTCAGTAGATGTCAGAATAGTGATTTTTATTATACATATGTACATATGGGGAAGATGAGCAGTACAAGGCTCTAAGCGCTGATCTCCC